AAGTCCTGCTCTGCAAACCATCTTCCTTTCCTCTCTGCACAGGGCATCCCCAGCACCCTCAAAGGTGTCACCTCCTCTGAAAACACCCACCCATCTGGATGGCAGCCTGGAAATCCCACCGACTTCTCCTGGGATGTGGGGAATCACTGTTTGCCCTCTTGGATTCCAGTCCAATATGTACCCCAGTTCCACTCTCCTCTCCCCTGTGCAGACAGAGCTGTGGGAGCTCAGCTCTGCTGTAAGCCTCTCATTCACAGGTACCAACCTACTCTGAAATAATCATTCCAAACTGCTAGGAGTCCTAAATTACAAAACAAATTCAACTGAATTAACAAGCCACCGAGCCAGGCAGCCCATCTAACATCCCTGCAGCAGGTTCCTGCCGTCAGCAAGGATTGCTGGTGTAATTCCCAGGGGCTGCAGGCTGGTGGTTGCATCCGGACCAGCCTGCCCATTTCTCTTCCCTTTGCTTCTAAGGGAAAACTGCCAAGAACAACGTGAGATGTTGCGTGGGCACAGCCAGACCGAAGCTGGGGAGAGGCACAGCTTCATCTTGCTGCTGCTGGCCTCAACAGCTCAAGAGGATTTACAGCTCATCACATCCCTCATCTGCTTTTGACCCTGCAATCTTATCTTGATTGCTCCATCAGGACCTGGAGGACTTCTCCTCAGCTGGAAGCACCAGCCTGTGCTACCTGTGATTTGTACATTGTTGCACTTGAAGTTGTTTTTATATTTGATTTCACAGCTATTACCAGGTCTGTGAAACCCTGGATTTTATAGTACAAGAGCTTTACCTGGCGATAAAACAAGAAATGAGAGTACAAAAGGTCAGATCATTACTGCTCATCACAAAGGGATAAGTTAGCAGGGTAGTTCCGAGCACTGAAACCCTGTGGGATGGTCTTTCACACACTCACACACTCAGAGCCACACTCTTTAAAGGGGGGGGGGGAAACCCAACCAAGCTGTGTTAGTGCAACCCAGGTTACAGCCTTTTCAGTGTAGTGACAAGTCAGGGCACAGGAAGGCTGCACAGGAACAGGCCTTCCTCATAAAGCCTTTGAGAAATCAAACCATTTACTTCTTGTGAGGTTTTAACCTCTTCCTTGTGCCCCGAGTCACGAGCATCACCAGGAGCAGCCCTGCAATAAGCAAAGCTGAAAGCAGACAGCACTCTCTGGAAGGGGAAAAGCAGACAGAGAAGCTGACCTCAGGACGTTTGTCTGCAAAAAGGATCTGCACTGAAAACCAAGACCCTTCCTAGCTCCTGTCAGCAGCCAAGCAGGTATTAAATTGCCTTTTATTACTGAAATGAGCTACAGTTGTTTGTGTAAGAATAGTACCACGGGGTTAAGAGATGCTCCTGTGGCACCTGCTCCAGCACACACAAGTTACTAGACAGTCTTTAGTTTACAGGTCATTGATAGAGGGGCACAGCAGCTCAACAAGAGACCCTGCTTGTGTGGTGGCTTCAGGGGCCCCCAGACACTCGGGGACATGCAGAGTGCCCCCGACCCACAGAGAAGCCAAACCTCCAGCAGTCCCATTGCAGGGTGAGCACCCCCTCCCTCGAGGTCTGATGCTCCCGGGGGGCAGAGGTCCTAGTAACCCCAGAAGGCTGCAAGTTCCAATCTGCCCCAGCTCTATTTTTAAGCCTGGCAGCTGGAGAAGATCCCGGTTGCCACGCTACCCGTGTTGTGGGTGCGGAGCGGTCAGCACAGCCCGCCCCCGGGACCCACCGAGCAGCTCAGCAGCGCTGGGGACGTGACCGACAAGGTTTCAAACCCACCGCGGCAGCTGCGGCGGTTACGCAGGAGCTTCCCCCCTTCCCGCTCTTCTCCTCCAGTTCCCACCCCTCTCCAACACTTTCCTGAAGCTTCAGACATCCCCCGCGTTCCGTGTCACCCCAAAGCTTCCCACAGCCCTGGCAAGGTGCAGGCAGGAGGCGGAAAAGTACTGCAGCAACTGCTGCCCGGTGGGTGGACAGCGGCTTTCCTTCATCATTCATTCTTCCCAGCTCCCAAAGCAAACCTTAAATGAGCTTTCAGCATTCCCTCCAAGAGCAGGAGAACCCCAGCACACCTCCATCTACCATGGGATTTTCCAAAACACATCCTCCAGCGGCAGGTCTGAGTTGTAAATCAAGTTTCCCAAAGTCCTGCCAGTGATTTATTAGTCGGGGAGATGATTGAAAGAGGAGCAGCCATTTGTAAAAGTTCCTGTCACCAAATGATACATTCTCTTAATTTCCAGACAAATAAAGAGCATGAATATCTCTGTCTTTGCCATCACTGTTGGGTGAGAATAATCAAATATTCCACATATTGCTGCTGCCACGGCAGGAGTTATTTATTTGGACATTAAAAACCTCCCCAGATCTTTCAGCTTCTTTCATTTCAGATGTATAGCTGGAGACATTGATTTGTTTACAGCAGACATCAAGAAGCTTTGTTTGGAAGCTTTTGCTCTCAGGAAGACACCACACAAGACATAACCTGGGTGTTACAGCATTTCTGGTCTAGTTCTGGAGCAGCTGAGGGAAAGGGCCAGATCCCTTTGCTCAGACCCTGAGGTATTTGGGAACAAAATAAAGCCCTACAGTGTTTTTGCTTCACACACAAGTCACTCGTGTCTTTTAGAAGTGCCCTGGACCTCCAAGGTGCTTCAACTGTGCTGACAAGTAGATGCCAGTCTCCATAAGTTAATATTTTTGTCATTTTGGGGGTGGTTTGGAGTCAGTAAGATTATATTAGAAACGAAATCAGCTGATGGCACCGCCATCCCCTGGCCGCTCGGTGTCGGGAGCGAGGGAACGCTGCCAGCGTTGGGCAGCAGGAGTCACAACATCCTAAGGAATGTAGCTGAGCTCCAACCACATCTTTTCCTCCTGCTCCATCCAGCGGCTCAGGCTGGAAGAGCACTTGGTAGCCAGGAGGAACTCAGCCATCAAAGGTCGTGCTCCCCAGTACTAATCCCCCAAGAATGGCTGGGGCAGCTGCTGCTTCACCCCCTTCAGCTGGGAATGCTGGCCTGGTAGGGCTGGAAAAGCTTCTCATCTAGCTGGTGGCACTGGAGAAGCTGCTGCTTTTCCCATAAGGTCAGGATGATGGTGGAGGAAAGTACAGGTCCAGACCATCTAACTTTTTGCTAACACTTCAAGAATAAATCACACAGCTCTGTTCCCTCCCTATTCCTCAGCCTGGCCTCAGCCCAACACAGCTCAGCCCTCAGGCCAGGGGCTGTGCTTGGGTAGGACTGCTGGAATCAGGCACACCAGGCCATGACTCTGCTGGGAAAAGGAAATTTAAGGAGCAACAGCTTTCCCCAGCAAACCCTCCCTGCTAGTAAGCACAGGGCAAGCACTACAGATAACCTGGGAGACAGGTGAGGGGACAGAGGAGCCTTCCTGCCTTCACAGAGTCCTGCACACATTGCTTTGGCTCACACCAAGAGCAGAAGGGATGGGTTTTAAGAAGCACCGTTGGCTTTTAAGAAGCACTCTCTGCCTCCAGCACTGCAGTGAGAGCAAGAGCTGCAACCTGCTCCTAACAAACATTCTTGCTGGGATGAAGGACACTGTGCTGGGCAGGACTGAGGGCTCCAGAGCTGAAGCCAGGGGTGGCCCCAGCCACCCACCACACGGGGATGACATCTGAGCTGCTGGGTACTGCCCAGCCAGAGACTGTAAAGCCCAAAGATCCCTTGTTATACCCAGAAACCCATAAAGTGCTAATGAAGAAAGGGCTCCAGGGTAGGCTGAGAGCTTATAGCACACCAAAAAATACCTGGAGGGCCATGGGGTGCAAGAAAACAAACAGAGGAAGCTCTGGGGAACACCAAACAGCACCCAGGGCAGTTGAGAGACCACCAGAAAACACCTGGAGGGCCTGGGGGGAACGTGCAGAGCAAACTGCCGGGTCAGACAGATGGCTCTGAGGGCACTTCCACACAGATAAGGTGCTCCGGGGGACAACGAAAGGCAAACGGAGGCCTCCGGTGGAACCACCGAAAGGCAGAGGCTGTGAGGGGCGGTCAGTACCTAAACAGCTCGGCTCTGGCGATTCTTCCTCCTCTGAGGCGGGGCTCGCCTGAGGCTGGCGGCGGGGAGGGGCCCGGGCTCCCCCGGAGGCGGAAACCGGCCCTCAGGGTGCAAGTCCGGTCCGTGACGGGGGCGGCAGGACCGGGCCCTGACGGGAGCTCCCGGGGCCCTCACAGGAGCTCCCGGGGCCCTCACAGGAGCTCCCGGGCCGGTTCCTCACGGG